TATTGTTTAGCACTTGTGGAAATTTGTAGCAATTCACAAGTAGATCATTGTTTAGCACTTGTTATAGCTGAAGAAAAGTTTACGAAGTTGAGATTAAACTAGTATATGTTTATCCTTGTTGAAATTTGTAAGCAATTTACAGGACAAGTACTTGTCGAAGTAAAACATCAGGTGGCATAACTGAGGTGTGTCACCCCGAGAAGATTGCACAAAGAAGGAAATATACATAAGATATGCAAAATATTCTAAGTATAGAATCATGCGAGAGCAGTTAGAAGAAGATCAAGACAGAATTCATGGTAATTGACACGCCCTCACCATACAATATCGTCTTGGGAAGGCCATGGTTGCATGCAATGGGGGCAGTTCCCTCAATATTGCACCAACTACTGCGGTTCCCAACAGAACATGGGATTGAAGAAGTCAGAGGGGATCAACTGCAGGCGGAGAATTGCTCCATGGCAGCAATGAAATCCACCTGCAGCATTCGAGAACCAGAGAAGGCAGAGATTGAAAACGAGGACATAGAGGTCCTAGATGATGTCGGCAAGGAGCCAGTCGAGAAAAGTGAAGAGGCACTGAGGAAAATCCTCATCTAAGAGGGGGATGAAGAACGCTTCTTTCTTCTCAGCTCAGGCTTAGCCGAAGAAGAAGAAAGGGAATTGGAAGCTTTTTTTAGAGCAAACATTGAGGTATTTGCTTGGACACCTTACGAAATGCCTGGCATTGACCCCGAGGTCACTTGCCACCAACTGAACGTCGGCAGGTCGGCCAAACCTGTAATCCAATGAGCAAGAGGACCGACGTTGATGCACGTTGAAGCAGTAGAGGAGGAAGTAGACAGACTTCTAGAGAATAGGGCCATTCAAGAAGTCAAATACCCGACATGGCTATCAAAAACAGTGGAAGAAGGAATGATAATCAAGGAGCAAGGAATGTTAACATCGGCCAACAACAGACATTTTTCAGAAGCAAAAAAGGTTGCATATGCAAAGAAAACAAAAGTACAAAGATGAAGACCCTAAGAACTAGGGACTAGGATAAGAACGCCAGACTAATCTACTACAACGGTTGACAGTGGTTCAGCATTGGCAGTCAGCTGGGAGAGCTTCTCTACCATTATCTCGGCAACAATTTCAAGAAGGAAACAAAACTACTCGGCATCAATGGCAGGATATAGAAGACAGTTGGGAAGACTTCTCAGCAGCCTTCTCGGCCTCGAGCTCAGCATCGATCTCCCGAAGAGTTTGATCAAGGCTCTTCTCGGCGATTAGCACCTTGGAGTTTGAAGGCAAGGATTGAAAGCAAGAATCTGGAAAAAGACACAGAAAACAGAAACAAGAATGTAATTCGTAATCAAGAATGGTAATGAAGGTATCAGAAAATCAAGACAAAAAGATTACACAAGTGTGTCAAACCAAGAACAGTGGCAGAAATCAACAGATGTGTGAACAGTGTGTATTCAAGAAGATAATTTGGAAACAACGGGTAAAACAGCAATGGTGATTAACAATGAAGCAGAGCTTCTTGGAAAGCAACAAGAAATAAAACCAGGAGGAACAATGGCTTACCAGAAAGAGAGAAGAAGGAATGAGAATTGCCGAAGTTTAACGACGAATGCGAAAATGACAGAATGACGTAAGCTTCACCGGAGGAGAGGAACGAAAACAGTTGTAGAACTTGAAAGCTTGGACCAATGACGGATTTAAGCAAAAGGGCTAGAACAAGAAAAAGCCAGAGGATTGAATAAAAAAAGAGAAAAATCAGAGTCAAGAAGACGACAAAGTTCAAGAATAAAGCCAAGTGCACAGGCACTAAGTAAGTATGTGAAGAACAAGAAAGTAATGACCCAGACACGATGCTAGTAACAGAAAGCAGATATGACAAGAACAATGCCAGACATTCAAACAATTCAAAACTTGAAGAGAGACGAAAATAGAAGGCAACAGATGGCAAGTAAACAGATTCGGAAGAGTTATGAAATATCGAGCTTAATAGCAAGTAAAGAGTTTATGAACCTACCAAGAGAAATGAACGCCAATATGAGAATCACCGGAGTCAAATAGATGACTGGAAATCGAGAACTCACCAGAGAGTGTGAGTGAAGCAGTTGCAAAAGCTCTTGGAGTTTACGAATTAATGGAACCAGAACCTCGGCTAGGAGGTGTGATTTCAAGCAGCTTGGAAAGCATGAAACTTGATTCTGGTTATATGAAGTCGACATGTCATGATCTCGGTTGGAGAAATGAATGGATTATTAGCCGGTATGCTATGTGGACAAACGATGTAGGTTCCATCACCTCAGGTTGCCGAGGTTATAGAACCTAGGGGGCAGTTGTGGGGATTTATTTTCTGAGTACCAACACGTGGGAAGGTGACACCGACGTGTCAGCCGAGGTGCCACGTGTCCTGGTCGTGACGCCGAGGTTATCTCCGAAGATATCGGAATCCGAGATAAGCTGATAAAAGACAAGAGTCCTAGAATAAAGAGGGAACTCAACCTAAATATGGACAAGAGTCCTAGATTGGGAGAAGACTTCAGTTTGGGTAAAGATAAGACTCTTAGAGAGTTTATCCTAATCTTACTGGGAGTCCAAGATTAGCAGTAATCCTGAGTCCATAGAAGCCAGGCTCCTATTGGGACTAAGATTGTATTGGCTATAAAAGAGAGGCACCCCCATGGGTCTAAGGTATGCTTTTGATACTCAAGCTTGTGAGTTTAACACTTGATTTATCTTTGAGAGATATACTGACTTGATCGTCGGAGTGCCCCCGGGTAGACGAACCACCGCCGGAATCTTCTCTTTCTGTTGCAGGTCAGCCAGGTGCCATCTATTCTGCCGGTGCTCTTCAGCTGGTTACTAAGCGGGCAGTGTGGTCAAAAAATCACCCACACACTATTCTTTTATCTCTATTTTTTTTCCCATCCCTTTTATGTCTTCACTTTTCTTCTTCTAAATGTGACTCATGGTCGAGCTGTAATGACTCTCTATTATCTTCATTTTGGATTGATCAATGTATGCACCTAGTCATGTGAAAAAGTGATCTTGGTGTTGCCCCTAGTTGAGGCCAATGATATCAACCCACAATTTTTCTTGGTAGTCCGACGACAGTTCATTGGGCATTTTCCATCTTCATTCGGATTTCTTTCTTAGGAGCAATTATCATATGGCTCAAGGCGTTGATGACGATACAGATAGTTGTGAGCTTTCCAACAAGTGCACTGAATGACAGAACAAAGACTCAACACGAAGAAACAAAAGAAGAGAATATAACACAAAAGATAAAAGACTCGACTCAACACTCGACTCAATCGTACCCCTAGAAGAAGATAGAAGGCAGCAGACAAGAGACTTGACCCGGCACTCGACTCAGTCATGGCCCTAGTTCATGATATTTTCCACATTTTTTCAAGCTTTCAGAAATTTTCCTTTTCAGGACTTAGTCATACATGCTTTAATGCTTTGAGATTACAATAATAAAGTTAGGTATTGAAAATTTCTTCAATTTTGGTAATGAATGTTCTTTACTTTGTCAAAACAGAGTACCGATCGTGCAAACTAGCCCTCCATATCAAAGAGTCCCAAACATATTCATTACAATGATCACCATTAAACAATCCTAAAACTGAGCCAGACAACATGAGTCAACATGAGTCCAAAAATATGTCTCCACATGTGCCATTTAATTCTGAGCTTGAAGAGTTCGTTTCTGAAATTTCAAGTCAGATTTGGATTTGGTCCAAGCAAATCGAGGTGGTGGCTACACCACAATCTTTAACGACGAAAATGATTCTAATTTAGCAGAATGGTCCCAATGATCATTATAACATCATCTATTGGGATGAGGAGTCTATCTCTCAAATCTTGGCTTGGTTTGGTAATCAGTGTACGAAAATCGAGATGATTGATCACATAAAAAAAATTAACCAACAAAGATCTAAATTAAAGTATTATGACTCCTGTAAAAACTTTATTATAATTATTCTAAATTATTGAGACTTCTAATGCAATTTTTACAAGTTCAAATTTTTCTAGTCATTACTTTGGCTTGCCCTTATCTCTACGATTTTATATTGGATTGGAAATGCGTCTTTATTTTCATCATTTACACTAACATCAAATTGTTTTTGGATTGAAAATAGGATTTTTATTTGCTATTTTAAGGCTTGTAAACGAGCTAAGTCAAGTCAAATTTTAGTATGTTTGTACTTATTTATTAATATTTTAACGAGTTTGATTTCGAGCTCAATAAAAATTTAATCGACCGAGTTCGAGTCGAGTTAGTTTAGGCTTGACTCGAACTTAAGCATGTTCACAAGTCAAAAAAATTATAAATTTATATTTTCTTATGATAATTAAAATTTTAATTACACAATTATATATACAATATATAAAAGAAAAGTGATTACTAAAATAACAATATCTATCATTACTATTATTTAAATATATACATGACATATTTATCCTATTTTTTTATACATATTTAAATAAATCTTATACGAGTCGAGTTAACGAACAAAATTTTGGTATGTTTAAATTTATTTATTAAAATTTTAAATAAAAATTTAATGAACCGAGTTTCTATCAAAATTTTAAATAAAATTTGAATTAATAAAATTTTGAACGAGTTTCTACCGAGTCGAACTTGAACTTGTTTACGAACGACTCTGTTAATTTGTGACCCTATTACGTTGTGTTTACTTATGAATTTAGATAAAAATTTAAAAATAAAAGAGAAAAAAATAGATAAAATATAATTAAATTTTATCTATGTTTTACTTTCTCTTTTTAAATCTATTTCCTAATTTATAAACAAAACAAAACAAAACATTATTGGTACAGGCTTATTGAGATGTTTCAATACCAACCGGGAAAGAGAGGATGAGCTTAGCTATTATAAATGCCGTATTTAAATAATAGATTTAGATTAAAAAAATATTTAAAAAAAAAGTTTCTCTCTCTGTCTCTCTCTGACTTTCACTCACTCTCACTCTCACTCTCACTCTCTCACAGAGTCAAAATCGGTAAAATGGCAAACATTGCAGGGTGTGTGGGTGTGGAGGCGTGCCTACAGTCAAACATCATGTTTTTCAGCGATCGTGAATCGCAGAGCCCAATCCTTCTTTGTCTCTAAGTTGAAGAATGGATCGTGAATCGCATAGACTATTTTCACAGAGGACTTGTAAGTCCGATAATATAATTGCCTCTTTTTGCTGAATTCTGTTGATTTCATGTACTCTGTTGAATTTCGGAAAGCTCATTAATGTATTTTTCAATTTTGGTTCATTTATTGTCAGTTAAAAAAAAAACAAAAAAAATTGGTTCATTTATTTTGGGTTTATTCATATATATATCCTGAATTTTGGGACAGCTTTGTCATTCTCAACTCTGCTGCTTTGATTTGGTCCCTTCACATATTTTGTTTTGATGTGCATCTGTACTTGTAATTTCCATATCTTTCGGGGGATGTTTGGGAATAAGATATTTTAATTATTTTTTTAATTATTTTATGAAAATATATTATAAAAAAGATAAATAATGATGTGATTAATTATTTTAGTGCTAACCTAACTTGTCAAACGGATCCTTCATTATAAATGGTGGTTTAGAATGATTTATTGTGCGGAATCATTTTGGAAGCATGTTCTTTTCTTGATTAGAAAAGGGAAATCACTTTAGGAGTTTACAATATGCAGGGATGAAAATGGTCCATAATTTTGGGATTTTGTGTGAATTTTTTATTTTAAATTTAACTATTTTAATGATACGACTTTAAATTCATCATAATCTTGATAATTTTGATTTATCTATCCTCATACTTGATCCTACTTTATTAATGCTCTTTCAAAATGTTTTTTCATTATGATCGGGTTTGATTAAATACAATCGGGTGGTGAATTTTGTCATCTTTACCTTCTATACCATTTTTTGGTTACGCGTTATTTATTTTTATGATAAATGTTACATAATTATTTGATAGAGGTACCAATGATACTTTGTGGTTAAAAAATTAAGTTAATTTTTGTAACAATAATGTTACATAGTTTTTTTTTTTATTATTATTATCAAAATGCTAAGTTTATTTGTGAATTATAAATTATCATAATTATACTCAAAAATTACATAATATTTATCATAAAAAATATGACATGTATAAAAAATAGAGGCAAACTGGAGAGCGTTGTTTGGAGCCGTGAAACTCACCACGAGTTCTGTTTCGATGATCTAAATGGTTCATTTTGTTGAACACTTCATATATTGCATTCACACAAAAAAATTAAGTCGATCTAATAATCGTAACTTATTCAATTTATGTCATTTATCACCAAAAAAGTAGATGGCAATTATGTTTTTAAAAAATAAACCATATAATTGTTTGTGACAAACCTAATAAATTGAACAAGTTACAATTATCGAATCGACTTAAATTTTTTTATGAATGAAATATATAAAATATGTGACAAAATGATTCAGATTATCGAAACGAAAGTAGCGAAGGGGTTATTTCTTTTAGGCCTTTTTGTTTCTGTCTTCACTTTGGCAGTTGAGGTATTCTTGTTTCTTATGGTTCTGATTTCATGGTTTACTTGTATACACAACACTCTTTACGTTTAAAATTGTTTTGTTTTGTTTTTTGGCAAATTACAATGCCAATCCTTGTATTTTGGTTATTGTATTATTTTAATTCATATAATTTTAATTGGTTCGATTTTGATCATGAATTTATGACTTTGTCTCATTTTGGTCTAATTAATTACAATTCGTAGCATTAATTAATTACAATTCTTAGCATTTTTTATTGAAAATATGCACACAAGTGTTATGTGTAATATTTTTATGGGTAAAATTATATAAATTTACTCAACTAAGTGTGTTATTTCAACCAATTTAATTATAATTTTCCTTAAAAACACTAACAATATTATCAATTGAACTAAATTAACACAAAATTAAGCCAATTAAAAGTTTAGGAACCAAAATGACACGAGAATAAAATTTAAGAACTACCGGTGTAATTTGTCCTTTATTTTTTGAACATTCATATTCTTTAATCGAGTCAACAAATAATGCATATTTGTAAAAAAAATAAAATCAAATCAAAAATTAAAGAACTCAATCTGCAAAATCGTTGAAAAAATATTTTAAAATATAGACTTTTATTAAAAATATGATAAATTACACTGATCTCCCTTGATATTTAAAAAGATATAATAAGTCTCATAGTTTTGGCATAATTAATTGAGTTCCCTTAATTGATATGACACTTATTTCCTTTTTCATCCATAATTTATTAGTTATATGGATGAAAAAAATAGTATTATCATCTCTTTTATATAAAAATATATATTTTATATTGTTTACTTTTGTGTTTACCCCATCTGTATTAATTTCGGACAGCACTCACATCTTGATGTTGTTACCATGTTTCCAGGTAAACAATGGGCACTTTGAATTGGAACCAGAGAATGAAAGAAGATTAGAGCTAAACTTCACAAAGACATTCCCTCATGTTGTATGGACTGGAAGGGAAGAGATAGATACCTCCATAGAAGTAGCTTTGTTTGATTCTCTTACTGGACAAGTTGTTAACTCTGGCTCTGAAGCCTCAGCAATTGTGCAAATAGTAGTTGTTGAGAGCGAGTTTAATGGAAAAAATTGGACAAAAGAAGAATTCAATAGTAAGATTGTTAAACTAAGGGAAAAAAATAGCTGTTCTTGCTGGAGATTTTCGTGTGAATCTTGAAAGAGGGATTGGTGTTCTAGGTTATGTTTGAATTCAGGCTAGGTGCAAGAATCGTTGATGATGATGGTTCTCATGGAATTAGAGTTAGAGAAGCAATCACGGAACCTTTCACTATCAAGGATAAACGTTTAAAAGGTGAGTACTTGTATTTCTTTCTCGTTTGGATACAGATTGTGTCCTGGACTGGATCGTGTTATTTGGCCTTGTTAGATTTACTGCAAGCCCTCACTTCAATAATTTGAATTATAATGGATAGATCATCCATATACATTTAAATTGATTTGATAATGGTAAATATGTTAATTTATAATATTTATTTTGTAAAAAGTATAAGAGACAAATGTAAAAAGCTTTTACGTGGTGTGGGCTTGGTTACTCAAAAATAAAACACTTTATTTAAATCCATGTCACTTCTCTCTCTTTTCTTTATATGTTATAACTTTATTCAAAAATGTTAGAAACTCTAAATAAATTATCAAATATTCACATGTTCATTGTTGATCTTTAGTATATGTGGAATGGGCTTCTCTCAACTTTAAATTCGAACTTGACCATTATGGTAGGGCTTATAGGACCAATCATAGGTTCTATTTCGATGATTCAGACTGTTTATTTTGTAGAATCTTCTGTGTATATAATTCATGAAAAAAATTAGGTTTATCCAATAATCTTAACATTTTATCACATTTGTCTCCAAAAAACTCAATTTTTTTTGAGATGAATACACTTACACATAAAAGAGTAATGCTAGAGATCCCAAATAATTTACCAAATATTTTACCAAACCTCTCACTTAAGTATGGGACCCACACACATGTGAGTTTGTGTGGGTCTCCCACCATGTAAAAGATTTGGTAAAATATATAGTAAATTATTTGAGATTCATAGCGTTTTCCTATATAAAATCATATAACATGAATTGTTCAAATTATTAAAATAGGATTCGTGGTGACTCCCATAAGCATAAGATAACGGTCAAGTTTAGAAAATTTTCATCCATGATTTATATAGAGGGAAGCATGTATAAATTAAATTGGGTAAACTATAGTAACCTCCCTTGAGATTTAGAGAAAATATAATAAGTCATATAATTTTGACATAATTACATTGACTCGTTCTTAATAAGGTTAAAGAGACCAAAACTACTGCAAATTGTGTGAAAATTCAAAGATACAAAAGCTAAAATATATATTCCAATGTAAAAGAAATGACACTATCATTTTTTCATTCAAACAATCAATAAATTTTTGATAAAAAAGAGGCCAAATGTTATATGAATTAAGATACAAAATTATATATATATATATATATATATTCCAATGTTATATGAAAAAGCATAGTAAAAAAATTTAAAAGCTTTCCTGAGAGGGTAATTTTTGATAAAAATTAGGCCGAGCTATGTGGTGGGCTTCGTGGCCCAAAGCACCAAGGACTTGGTAAAAAGGCCGCAAGGTTATTCCGGCCCAGGGGAGATAAAAGATACTCCGGCCCAAGTTGTTAAAGTTACTCCGGTTCAAGAGCGTTAGATTTATTCCGGCTCTGCGGAGATGATTGACTTACTTCGGTCAGAAGAGATAAAGTTACTTCGGCTAAAGGAATGTAAAGCTGCTTCGGTTGACAACTTGAGTTAGTCCGGTCTCAAAAAGATAGTCCGGTCATAATTGAATTCGGGATAGGTCGGTTGTAATGTTGTTACTCAGTGGACCAGTCCAAACACACCACGGTTCATGTATGAGAGAACCGAGATATGGTGTGGCATGAAGAAGAACTGAACTACTGTTGGTACGACCTACTTTGTGGCTCGGCATAAGCCATTTTTACTTCGGTCAAATAGTAATTCGGCCATGGAGAAAACCATCCCACTTGGTTTAAGCAGTGGGGGAGGGTGTAAAAGGATAAGCATTATCCTTAGGAGAATGAATCCTAGGAGGACTCTGCATGGAGAAATACAAGTCCTACTAGGATTGTGCCACGGAAAACTTATAAAAGCCCACAAGCATCACCTTGGAGGAGGTAATTGAAATAGAGTTTTATATCAAGAAGAGTTATTTTGATTTCAAAAATCCCGTGTTAACTGGATTACTCAAGGTGAGCGGAATACAAATTTTTTTCATATGTCTACCATTATTAAGAGAAGGAAAACAAAAATTGGAGTTTTGAAAAATGAGGAAGGGGTTTGGGTGCATAACCCCATGCAGTTAAAAAGTTTAGCAAATGATTACTTTCAAAGCCTCTTTGCTTATACTCAAACTATTAGCCTTGATCATTGGAGTAATCTGACCAAGCACATCAATCCTGAGTGTGACACCACAAAATTTAAGGACATCATAATAAGATTTAGAATTTAAAATCAATATTACCACCAATATTACTAACATCCATTAATTAACAACCCAGAATTTAAAGTTCTTACATCACAACTTAGTCTTAGTACATAAAAGAAATGATACAAATATAAAAAGAAAACTAGAGAAAAATTAGAAATTTTAGAAAATAGTTCATGAAACTTGACACTCTTCAAGCTAACCAAGGTTGAGTGTCGCCTTGCAAGGCCCCAGTGTTTCCTTCGATTTCTTCGGTACCTAGCATAAAATGCCAGGGCAACGGGAATGCCAGTGAGCGATGAGCTCAATAAGATACTACAACCCGAAAATACCCACCCCGATAATAATACTCACAATTTATGAATAATATGTAGTAACAGAATAACCAGTAACATTAGTAAGTATAAAATAAATGTTATCAGTTGAAATAATAACAATAAATAATAATAAATCAAATAATAATAAAAAATTATAACAAACGGAAGCAATATTTTCATCATAAGGAATATGCCCGCCTTTCTTTTTAAATTTTCATAAATTTAGTTTATCAGATAAATTTAAGTAACTCCCCGTGGAA